TCTTTTACTGTCAGAGAAGCACATTTTGACATTGATAATCAGTTTCTTGAGATGATGCAACCCAGCAGTTTATTGGATCATATTTATTTGTTTATTTTGGATGTTTATTTATCCCACTCCTTTCTCAGTTAGATAGATCTTTTCCTGTCTTGGTAGATGCATTCTGTGGAACACAAAGGCTCAGGCTTCCTGAGCTTTGATGGAAAATGAAAGAGATTTCTGGGTATCTAGGCCTTTAGACCAGCCCTGAACATAAAGGTAGAACATAGCCGTATTGGCTCTTAGCCACTGATAACCTTATCAGAATCAGAAGGATGTTTATTTGCATCAACCACTAGCCGTAGCAATAAAATAAAATGTACTGAAGATAGAGGTAAAAACTTAACACTGGAAAATACATTTTGGGGGTTTACACCAATAATCAAATAATAGATCTTATTCTAACAGCCCCTACTAAAAACCTTGCAGTTTTTGCTATCACCTGATCTTCTTGATCTGCTAGAAGTAAGGACACAGTAGCAATGGTTGAGCGACCCGGCATGGACAATAGTAGAGGGTTAATAACCTCACTCCTCAAATCTTTATAAAGAGTGCAGCCAGAAGCACATGAGCCACTGACTCAATAGTGCCATCTCCGCAGGGACATAACAGTTTTTTCCAGCGGAATTTTTTGAAATCGATTTTAAGTCATACAGATGACTTAAGGGCTGATAACCCTATCCTCCACTGGCAGTCTTCTGCCTCCATGCGGCACTGCTAGTAAGGCATCTCTCTGTGTTTCCTGCCTGTCTAGAAAAATATGTGATCCAGGCCTAACTTCATTCGAACCAGAAGCCTTGGGCAACCTTGTTGAAGGGATGGACTTCCACAGATTTTATTTTGAAAACTGTAAGTATATCTTGTTGCATGTAAGATATGGGAGGGAGAAAGTCTTCCTGTCCACTGACAGGAGTTTTCCGCCACTTCTCTTCCCAACTCAGGAACATAACTGCGTAAGGAATGACGTTTGGCAGCTCCTTTGTCCTTGAAAGGTTCCTACTTCTTTACTCTTTCCTTCAACCAGCTTATATTGGTTGTAGGGACAGGTGACATATAATAATAATAATTTATTTATACCCCACCCTCCCCAGCCAAGACCGGGCTCAGGGCGGCTAACAACCAATAATAAACACAAGTTGATTGAAATACAACTAAAAAAAAAAGATTAAAATACAACATTAAAACATTAAAATGCAGCCTCATCACAGGAGGAGAAAGGAAAAAAGAAAGAAAGAGGGGGAAGGAGTCAAATTGATTCTAAGCGGAACAACTCTGTCTTACAGGCCATGCGGAAAGAAATCAGATCCCGCAGGGCTCTGGTCTCATGAGACAGAGCGTCCCACCAGGCCGGAGCCAGTGTTGAAAAGGCCCTGGCTCTGGTTGAGGCTAATCTGACTTCCTTAGGGCCTGGGACCTCTAGGGTGTTGCAACTATAGGGTATTGTTGTTATATGAGGGCTTGCTTGATTATTTGTTATTTATAGAGGAAGTTTATAACCTGCTCTTCATCAAAGGGTGAATCCAGACTGTCACTATTTTGCAGGAGGGATTCAAGGGCATACTGAAACTTCAAGTTTGCACCAATGAATTGAAGTTCTCTGTCACTCCAGTGCAAACAGAAGACTTTCGCATTAGGAATATGATGGGAAATGCACTGAAAAGTGTGGAATGAATGAATGATTAACGGGAAGATACATAAACACCCTGCAAATCAGGATGAATGCTCATTAGTGTACTGTAAACAAATATGAAGGAATCCTCAGTAGAAACTGGCTGCAAGTGTGACTTACACACAAGTTTTGTGAAAGCAAATCAGAACAAAGGCTGATTAAATTGGTTGTCTAGAGGAGCCCCACATCAATCACCGAGTGGGCAGACCATAAAAATGTATTAATACCTAATGAACCAATCTTAAACAAATTCAACTGATTACCACATTTCATCACAACAGTGCAAGAGTGGGAAAGAAAACCTCCTCTAGTAAACTAACTCCTTAAGTCTCCTCCTACCCCTGGCTCCTTCCCAGGCAACCTGAGACTTCTTTGCCTTGCCTGTCCTCTCTGCCCTCTTCATACCACTGCTGGTTCTGGGATACCAGAGGGGGTGAGGAGCTGGTCATAGCAGGAGGGAAGGATTCCTTGGCTTCTTCAACAGCCTGAAGGCGTCATCTCTGCCTTTTGGCCCCACCTCCTATCCTGCCTCTGAGTCTGGACGGCTCTCTGCCACAGCCTCTTCCTGCTCCCTGCTCCCTCTTCAGCTTCTGACACCTCATCCTCCTCCCAGTCTGCTCCCTCTTCAGCTTCTGACCACTCATCATGGTCCCACCACCAATCCCCTGGCTACTGCCTCCCACCACTCCTCTGCATCCAGCCAGTCCATGGCACCCAGTGGCCTCAATAAATGTCTTTACCAGCTTCTTAAAACACATCAGGGTTGGCATCAACCAGAAATCTGTGAGCAGAGGGTGTTTCACAGTTGGGACGCTAATATAGAGAGCACCCTCTCACGTGGGTGCCACATACCACACCATCAACAAACATTGCAGTAGTGTTAAGAAGGTGTCTCCACTTGATCTCAAATGTTTGGGTTGGGAAGTACTCTGGTTCATTCCCTGCCATCTCCAGCTGAAGAGATCAGGTAAGCAGGTGGTGAGGAAACCCCTATTCCGCCTAAGACCCCGGGAAGCACTGCCGGTTTGCACAGGCAATACTCAGTTAGATGAGGCAATTGTGAGGGAGCTTGCCCTCCTGACACAAGCTTTGCTGCTACTTGCCTGGATAGGGCTGGAGCAGGGTATGGCAGTGGGGAGGTCAGGGCTGTGCAGTTGCACCTGTGGGTGTGCCACCACCAACTCGTTCACCAGTTCTCATAGTATCTTCCCAGGTGTTCCAGCCTAATTCCTTCCTACTCAGCTGAACAGAACGCAAACCCTTACTTTCTGGTGAGGACAAAGTAATCTAGTAATCAACAAGCAAATTCAGAGAGTTGCCCCCTCAGGGGTTGTGATTTCCTTGAAAAAGGGTGTGTGGGGGGAGAGAATGACCCTGTTTTCTTGCATTAACTGGCGTATAATCTCCTCTCCATTCATCCTAACACACTGCCATATCCTTTGCTCCTTGCCTGCATCCGTATCTGAAACTTGTCTGGTTCCAGAGCAGGGGTGGGAGCCATCACTCAGTGACAGCGTTGAGTTCTTATTTAACCTAAGTCAGGGTTACTCACTTCATCTGTTAGCACACAACAGCATAGGGGAAGGAAAGTAACTGTAAGCATGAGCATCGGCCCTTCTGCGACAAGCCCATCCCCACAAACTCACTCTCGTTTCCTGTTCCTGCCCTTCCAGTGTTATCTAAGAACAACAAGCCCATTCACACAACCATCCTGAACCCTCACGTGCACGTCATTGGGGAAGATGCAGCCTGCATTGCCTACATCCGCCTGACGCAGTACATTGATGGGCAGGGCCGCCCTCGCACTTGCCAGTCGGAGGAGACCCGCGTCTGGCACCGCCGCGATGGCAAGTGGCAGAATGTCCACTTCCACTGCTCGGGAGCACCTGTGGCACCACTCCAGTGAAGGTAAGACCAGGGGCGACTTGCCCATAGAGGCAAGGGGCACCAGGGCGCCATGTTCTGGAGGGCACCGGGGAAGAGGCGGAGGCTGGGCGCGGCGCCTCCCGGGATCAGCTCGCTGCCCTTGCCTGCCTCGCTGAAGCAGCGCCATGCCCGGAGCCTCCGCCTCTTCCCCACTGGAGGAGCCACCCTCTAGCCGCTGCCCACCTTCTCCAGCCCCGCAAAGCTGCCGGCAGTGCTGTAAAATGGTCAGCAACTCTGGGAAACGGGGGGGGGGGGAGAGGGGGACGCCGGAAGGATCTTTGCTCCTTGGCGCCATACTTAAGATGGCCCTGGGTAAGACCAAGGCAAGGAGGGGTGGGGGGACCATTTCCAGCATTTTTCAGGAGGTGACTCTCAGTGGTGGGTGGGGACAGAGGCTAAACTAGGTGGTGAGGTGGTTAGAATCATAGAGTTCGAAGGTAGCCCGTAGGGTCATCTAGTCCAAACTGCTGGAATGCAGGAATCTCAGCTAAAGCATCCCTGACAGGTGGCCATCCAACCTCTGCTTAGAAACCTCCAGGGAAGGAGAGTGCGCCACCTTCCGAGGGAGTCACTTCCACTGTCAAACAGCTCTTACCATCAGAAAGTTAGTTGGAATCTCTTTTCTTGTAACTTGAATCCATTGGTTCGGGTCCTACCCAATGGAGGAGCAGCAAAGAAAGAACTTTGTTTCGTCTTTCATGCGACAGCCCTTGAGATATTTGAAGACGGTTCTGTACAGCAAACTACATTCCAGATGCACAAACGTCAAGAGATCTGCACACGCACAAACCTTTCCCTTTTATTTATCATTCAGCGAAGCAAGAAGCAGGATTGACAACACGTTTAAGCCAGGCCAGAGTACTAAAGGAAGGCCCAGAGTCAGGCTCGGAAGTGGTATGGCCTGCAGAGGGGGAACAGTCTCTGGCAATCGTTCACAGCATCTCTCTACCTGCTTGTGTCTTTCAGAGCTAATGCTGGATATTCTGGTTTCATCTCGAAGGAGACGGTGATTTGAGCTGAGCCGCTAGCCGGGAGCAGCGGTGACAAGCACGTGCCCGCATGCTCGTGTCCCCCCCCCCCGTTCCCCTTCCCCATCCTCTCCTCTTTCATTTCCAGTGCCTGTGTTTGCAGAAAAAAAAACAAAAAAACCCTAATCTAAAAAAAGAAAAAATATATATATAAAAAGAAAAAAGAAAAAATCCAACCAGACTTGATTCTAAATAAATGAAATAAATAAATCAGCAAACCCAGCCGAACCAACCCAGCTGTCCGACTCGCAGCGTGGCCACACTGCGCCTCCCAAATCCCCACCAACTCCATTTCTTTGTGTCCGTCCGTCCGGCTGTTCAGGTGACCAGGTGTTGCAATGAAAAAATGTCTCAACTTCAAACAAACAAAACAAAAACAAAAAAAAAGGCTCCACCTCCCTGTGTCGACCCCAGTGTTGAACGGTGTTAGTTTGTTAGGTGAAATATATATAAATATATATATATATATAAAAAACAAAAAACCCAGAAAAAAAACCTTTTACAGTATTTGCATTCTCTGCCAAAGCATGGGCCTTCTCCAGTGGTCGTGTTCGCGCTTGGAAGTCTGTGACCTGTGTTACCGTTTGTTTTTGCGGAGGATGCTCTTTCCGAGCTCTCGGGCTGACCGTTTATTTTCTCCTCTAGCTGTGGTTGTGGATTATGATGATGATGATTATAATTATTCAGACTCTTTATTTATTTTGTTCTTCTTTTGGCTAGAAGGTGACCCTTTCTGGGATGGGGGGTGGGGGGTGGGGCTTTGTTTTCTGGGCCCCTCCCGTGCTAACCCAGAGCCAGCGATTACCCGGTGGCAGTTGGCTATGGCCAGGCTGACGGGTTCTTCACGCAAAGGGTAACATAGCCTTAGAGATATAAAGAGGTCTCACTTGCAGGTTTTTTTGAATGTCTGGATTCTCATTGGCACTCACATTTCCCAAGCATCCCTGACCCTGACCTCTTGCCAAAGGGCTACCAACAGTTGTGTCGTCGTGCCTGTGCCCATGCCATGGCTTGCTTACGGTGGGGAAGGCCGCCCCGGCTTAATGGGGCTGGCTGGGACAGTCGTGACAGTTAGATTAGGAGAGCTGGGGAGGAGGAAGGTTGACACCGCTGAACCTCATCCTCTTTAACAGTTCTCAAAATTGGACTCCCTGCCCAACAGAACGGAGCAGCGGGTACCTCCTTGGAAGGCATTTTGTCGGCTTTTGCTTTCTGAAAGTCCAGCCCAGCTTTCTCCTCTGTGTTTTTCCTTTGAGCAGAAACCCGTGTTGATTTCAAAGAAGAAAAACAAACACAAAAGGGCTGGTTTGCTGCCTTTGCGGATCAGTTCTCAAGTTTTCATCAGCCGCGAAGGAGGAGGGCTGGTCAGCTAAGCTTGCACTCGGCCATTCCCTCGCTCCCTCCAGCTCACGCACCCAGAGCAAGAGCCCCCTGGCAACAAACTCTGTGCAAATTCCTCTAGCAGGAGAGAGGAAACCACTTCAGGCAGCTTCTGGAGCTGACTCTGCAGGCAGCCCTAAACAAGCCAAGCCAAAGGGGGAGCGGGTGATGCTCTGAATGGACCAACCCCTAGTGGAGGAAGAAGGGAGTTGCTGTCTCTTGATGGGTCAGTGCAAGCAAAATGCTGTGGAGCTGCATCCATTACCAACCACAGCTCCGTTAGGTTCCGCCCCCCACCAACCCGGGCAAAAACAAGGTACAAACAACTGTCCTCTGCTTACTATGGCGGGTAGCTGACATTTGCCGAGAGAGCTGGGTGATGTATGAAGTACAGGGATGTTTTTTCTTAATGGCCCCCTCCCTCCTGCCCCCTTTCATATTCACAAAGGAGACAGGCACATGCCCCGTTCAGCACCTCACTGCCCAAACGCTGCTCTTGCCTTTGGTTGATAGATTGGGGTGGGTTGCATCGTTGGCCTTGGCCGAGGCTACAAGGAACAAGTTTTGGAGGCTGGGCGGTTTCCCACTTACTCCTCCTCCTGCCTCTGCTCAGCATGCCATAAGCATATTTTGGATAGGTATGGAGTCGTCAAGCAAGCCACCGATTGCAGAGTGGACTCTGGCCAGCCAGCAAAGTGGCATTGTTGGTTTCAGTTAAGGGGTTGTCCAGTCATCTCTCCAGAACCAGTGTATTGGGGTGGGGAGATGCAAGAAAAGATTTTAAACATCAGGGTAGGGAATAAGGATAGAGGACTTGTGGTGGGGGGCGGGGCAAAAGCACCATGTTTAAAATTAGGCAGTGGTACTAGGTGCTTTAGAAATCCACACCTCCCTCTGCCACCATATCAGATCAAGAGCTGTCATGTCTTCTTGGCACTCTTCTTTTGTAGTATGCTGCTGGTTAGATAAATCGCAGGTAATATGGCTGCTTGTGAAAGGGGTGAGGAAGAATGTCATGCTGCAGTTCTGGCTGTAGTGGGAAGGTCTGAAAAACTTGTATTATGGTGAAATAATCTGAGAAGGGCTCTTTTGTCTTCTTTGATCTTACTTGTGCCACCTCCCACCTGGCCTTGATTCACCTCTACCTAATGGGGTGTCTTCATATCTACTCTAAAAAGAGTTTCCTCAGGCTGTTGGTCAAACCAGTCGGGCGTTTATCTAGATGAGGCTTAGGAGGCGGTGAAACAGTTCTTTGTTGTTGTTCCAGAGATCGCTGCATTTAGTAACTCAGCCTGGTGCCTATTAAAGGGTCTTGCCAAATGCTGCAGAGAGGGTGCTAACATAGAATAGAAAAACAGGGCTGTACAGCAGCTACTCAGGTGGATCTTTCCAGAGTGTAGAGTTTTAATTGCTAGAACACACTGCCTCTTATTCAAGGTTTGCAAAGTTTGGAAGACTTTATTTGGGTATGTATATACTGTTAAGAGCAGGACTTGCAGGCATTGCTAAAGCAGGGCTGCGATTCCTAGAGATTTGCAGGCTTGGCTGGCATGGGACCTACTGGCAGGCATTCTCAGTTCAGTCATGTTAGGAAGGCATTCCTGCTTCTGGAAAGGGTGGCGGTACCTAATGAAATGCAATTGCAAGATTTGCTGGTGGTGTTTGGACAGCCAAAGGGTAGAAAATTCAAGAGTGAATTTTCTTCAGTTGATTATTGAAGCATGACAATTTTTGCAGTCTCCCGGTCAGCAAGCCATCATCTGACGTTGCACAGGCATCAGTTACTTAGGTGAATTTATCTCAAAATGTTTAAATTGTGCAATTTCAGCATCATTGTGGGCTTGGTGTTGTTTTTTTTAAAAACCCAAAGAGGAGGAAACACTTAGGGATATGGGACGAGCATGAAGGTCAGTAGAGGCATGGGAAATGAAATGTGGTGCTGGTGCAGAAACAGCTTTAGCCCAAGGTTGATTTTGCTATCTTTTCAATGGGTTTGTAGCTCTGAATCAGGGCATCAACCACCCAGAAAACACACATTGTGATCCATTCAGATCATTGCTCACCCAGCTAAATAAGCAGGTCAGCACAGGAGGCTGGGCTTACCTTCGTGCCAAAGCAACAATGGTTGCTGTAAATTCTGACAATAGGAGTGCATTTTCAGGGCAATACTTCTTGCTATGCTTCCCATTTCCCTCCCACCAGTGCTGACCTCAGCAGCTGGAAGCATTGCATAATAAGGTAGGGGAAGATGCAGCATTTTGGATTTTTAGAACAGGTTAAAGATCAGACGCTTATGCCTTGCCATCGATGCTAATTTTCCGCAAAAAGAGGTGCCATAACTCATGATGAGCACCTCCCTTGTTCTCTTAGAATGGCAATGGCGCCCACCTGAGAGGTGCTGGAGCCGAGTTCCAGCTGAAAAAAAAAAAGCCCTGCTTGCCATTATTGCATTTCCATTAGCTACAGTTAGAGGAAAGGCTTTCACACTAACATGGGTGCACAACCAATACTCTGCTCATGTGAATCAATGGGCAGCAAAACAAGTTTGCCAAAGGAACTTACAGATTTCCTATCACTAGTATTTTTATAAACTATTGGGTATATAATTGTGAGGTGGTGGTAAAATGAGGTTAATTAATCCAATTTTAGTGCTTAGGAATCACCCCATCTCGTAAATATCATTGTTAACAGCTCTCTTTTGATTCCTACATGCAGATAATCTCTTTATAAAGAGATGCAGTAAGAAGCTCTGAAGAGCTTTGGGACAAGCAGGTCACCACAAATTAGTCTTCCATTATTACCATCCTACACCTGATAGATTATTCTTGAGTCAATGTCAGACAATTTTCTTTGGAAAAGCTTCCTCATTGAGCAGTCTGTTGGCTCCACCACCAAGACCATATCCATGTTTTACTTGGCAGAGGAGCCAATGTTAAGCCAGGGACCGGGAGTGCAAATTCCTCTTTCAACCACGGTTTGCAACAAGAAGATTGCTACTTTGGCAATGAATGGGGTAGTCCTCTCATGCAAAGGAGCCAGTCTTCCTGCTAGAAGCAACCTTAATGCAGGCGCATTGCTGCTGAAAGCTTCCTGCAGCGTGTCTTTCAAAGTGTCACGGCAAGAATAAAAGAAGTGCTCAATTATCAGGCATATCTAAATCACCTTCCATCCAACACCCTCAAAGACACCAAACTAAAGATGACCAATTTGTGTCTTCTCCACAAATCTTTCCAGTAGCATCTAACTAGGTCAGAGTGATCTTCCTCTCCTGATTCCATTTCACTGGTTGCTGTTTGTCAAGGGCTTGGAAACACCGAGATGATGCTATGCCTTTCTCTAAGTAGATGTTATCAGCACCTCACACAGAACGGTGGGTTGGTGGTTGCACCACAGCACTCCATAATATCTAGCTGGGCCCTCAAAAATGTATTCTCATTCATATCACACCACCTTTGCATCTACTTGACCATCAAACCTGTGTTTCCAATTCAGCTCGAGTCCACATTCACAAATCAACTTAATATGCTGACGATGCATGCAGTTGTAAACCTCAAGCTGAACTCAACAAAATTAAGAACTGTACACTTCAGTTTAAAATAAAAGGCCGCACAGCACTTAATTCAACAGTAATGTTCTGTGCACTTCACTTACAGCCAATAGCTTTCTCATACATGGGACTATATTATATTTTATACTGATGCGTCATTTTATCAGATTGCTGCATTTATCTCCCCACCCCCACCTGGTTTCAAATGAATAAACAGTAAAGTTCCACACCTAAAACCCCTTCCCAGAAGGGTCAGGAAAACTCTGCTCATTGTAAGTGAAGCCCCCTGTGAAATGGTTTTCAGGATCCTCTCCTTAATAAGGAACTGCTATATCTTAACATTGCGTAGGAGCAAAGGAGATAGGTCAGCAGCACGTAGTCAGGGTCAAAAAGGACTATACAAAGGAGTGGAATAATCTTGCTATTAAGGAGGATTGTCAGGGCTGATATCTCATGATGGTTGCACAGCAAGGCCAAGGAGGGAATGCCAGGATACCGAGGCTCTGTTGCACAGGGTACTGAGAAGCTAATTGTGTGTGGCACAAGGGGAAGGGCTCAACACTTTCTGCAACCCTGCAGGATGTCCTTGGCGTGTATTGCACAGTGACCTGGTTTAGACAAAATGGGAACGCTGTGTTTTCCATTATGCAATTGCACGGCAGTGAGACTTGGGGGCTTGTGTTCCCTCTCCCCTGTGCTCAAGAGGAGTGTGACAGCTGCTAGGTTTCCTTTTGAACCCACTATGTCTGTTGTTGCTGTTGTTATGTCCCAACTTGGGGATCCTGGTTGATTCTAACTGGCTAGATTTTAAAAAAATAGGAAACCGAACCATCGTTTGATTCTGGTTTCATCTAGCCTCAAAAGAAACCACAGTTCCCCGAGGAGGAGAGTATGAGCATGAGGCTTGCCACAGTACATTCTCATTAACACAAAGTCATGGTTTCCTGTTGCATCTGAACCAGGTTATTTTTTCACTATGAAGCAGCCCTGCTTGTTCTTTAGATGGAAGTGATCACCAGGGGGCACTAAGGGAGTGCTATGAATGCCCTGTGTCTATCCATCAAATCATCCTCCCCTCTGATAACTCCACACACACACACACCAGCAACCAGTCAGTTGCTAAAAACTGAGAGAAAATGTAAGCAACTTGTAAGAAAAGCAAGCTTCTCCTGTTGTGTGTGTAAACAGTTTCAAATGTACCAGCAAGCTTGGTCTCACTTTGTATCTAAAGGTTGTAGATTGTGAAGACCTCCAATACGCTTCCGGTGTTGGCTGATCAACCTTTTCTTGAATGGAGTACTGAAAACTGATGCATGATGTACAAATTGGGAAACCTGGGCTGGTCTATATTTTCATTCCACATAAACTGCCACTTAAGCGCAGCTCGTGCCCAATTCACCTGACAGCGTGCTGGTGTAATTTGAACCTGTCCTTTGCGATAGTAGATAATGGAATATAGATGACTTGTTGTAGAATGCATTTCTCTGTGCTTTCAATTTCTGTGGATAAACATGCCAGAGTCTGCAAGAGGGTTTTGCTGTGCATTCCACTTGGAGGCCAGTGCAATATGCAGAGCTCTGCATACGTCAAAGCCCCCTTCATGACATCTGGAGTCACAGCGGCTCATGTGTTGAAGCTGGCTGAATTGCACACACCACGGGAAGGAAGTTCAAATAGGGTTGCCACGTGCAAAAGAAGATGGGGTTTCGGTTTCTTTCAACAGTTGTGTAGATGAAGGGATTTTCAACAGGTGCAGTGTGTCATGCAAGGTACACATGCCTCTTCTACATGACTGTTAAAAGGTACAGGAGCCTAGGATGAGACATTTAAACCCTTTAGAATACAAGACCTCGTTGGCGCTGCTCTGCACTGTAGATATAATTTCAGGTTACATTTAGGAGGAACTCGAGTTCCATACCTCAGTACTTGGCAAGTAGCTGTGAGCGTAATAAGAATTCCGTGTTTTACCCAGCTGCCAGTGAGCTATTGGAACTAGAGCCTATTGGATAAGGAAAATAAGTGTTTTTTGTAGACTGCAGAAAAAAATGCATAAGATACAAACATTTCTATGGTAGAAGGCTGCTTGCCCCTGGAAAGGGAAGCTGAGGTTTGTAATTCTGTAGAAAACACTAGTAGAGCTAGGATTGTGTGGTGAAGCTTGCAATCACCTCTAGCAAACAGTACTTGGGGGTCAGAGCCTATTGCTAGTCCATGTGCATGTCCCAAGGGGTTGGATTTGTGCCATTTCTACAATGCTCAGCTGTGCTTATTTTATGCTTGCATCCCAACTTTTCTGATGACCTTACTGCACCTGACTGATCATGGGTGGTGTACAAAAGTTGAAAGTACCAAGTTCAATGAAACCTGCCTATCACCTGGGAGGATGACGCTTAGCATCCCTGCCCTCCTGCCACAAAATACCACTCTGTTTAATCTCTAGGGTACCACTCTGGTACCACTCTCAGTTTAAATCTCCAGCACCTCCCTTCTTATTATTCATATCTATGCTTGGCACGTTTCACTGATCTAAATGTTGTAGAGTCAGTACCTCTCGTTAGCACAAAACTTAATTCTCTATTCTATTGCTGTGTTCAGTCCATACGTAATCTGCATCCCCAAAAGGAAAGAACAAACTATGGCACACCTAGTTTTCTCAGCAAAGAAAATGATATGCACTTTAAGAGAATGTCACCTATTGCATGCCTGTTTTCAGACATTCTTAAGAAAGTAAACGTCTGTGGAAGGCGCGAACCGTGCGATGTGCATGCAATGCAGAATCATCTCAGAGCTTTCCAGAATAAGCAAACGTGTTTTTAAAAGTCCTCAAAAGAGATCTCAGACAGCATGATGGCAGGAATGTCCCCCTGCTGGCCTTTGCAATTTTGCACATACTGATAGAAAACACCTTGAGTGCAGGATTCAGAGCCTAATAAACAGCTGCACATAAGGCGCTGCAAGCTTCAGTTGTAAGGGCAAGGAGCCATAATCTTCACTTGGAAATAAGGAGGTGTTTAAAGCATAGTGCCTTGTGGCTAGGCTGTGGTTCAGTGGTGAGACAAAGGTCATGCAAACCTTTTATGTAATGAACTGTCTTTGCACATTTGTTTCTTGATCCCTCTGGACCTACTAGGCCAAATCTGACAAGCTGCTTGAGATCAATAGACACAGTCCTATATAGTACTGCTATCGAGGGCCCAGGTTGCCTTGTACAGTTGATAGACTTAGATGTCTTCCAGGATATCTCTGCTATGATTATGAAGTAGTGAAGCAAGGATCATTGATTCATTCCATTGCTAAGAGGTAGGAGGGAGTGGAAAACTCCTCAGCGACTTAGAAATGCAGTGGATTCTGTCTTGGGTGGCGAGACCTTCTATGGCATTCGAGTGTGGCCTTTGTCCAGGCCCTCCTACAAGGCCATCTCCATGGCTTCATGCAGGACTTCGCATGGCTATTGAATGTAAGGGCAACTGGACCAAGACAGAATGACTGGGCAGGGGTGGGAGAATTGAAGGGGGGGAGAGGGGGGGAGAAGAGGGAATGGGCAGCGGTGGGGGGTGGGGGAGGCTGTCCCACCAGCACTGACACAGCATTGAAAGCACTTTATATTAAGAGGTTTAGATCTCTTACTCCTGCCGTCTCAGGACTGGGCTTTGCACTGCACCACCCTACCCACCAGAGAAGAGTTCAGAGGAGCTCAAGAGTGCAGGAAGTGTTAAATGATGCTCCTATTTCTAGATGAGGCTTAGGAGACGATGTTCCCTTGCATCTTCCCCTCCCCAACCCAGTTGTGTCCTCTCTGCCCAGGGCAGGGGATGCTAAGAACAGAATGCAGACTACTAGGGTTTAGGTCAAAAATGTGTTTCTCTTCCAAATTCATATTCGCAATCTAAGCTTATGGTGGCTCATCTTCATCCCCCACCTTTGCATACCCACCTGAGGAGATAGTGCTTCCAAGACAGGAACATCTAGCATAAACCAGGGAGGAGATAACATTTAGAGCCAACACATTCTGGCTGAATTGCCTTTCTCTCAGAGCACCTTTATTTCTGCATTTCTTTTCCAGGGGAGGGGTTGGAAACAGGGAGGTGGGTACTGGATTAAACATGCAAGGAAAGCGAGAATTCAAATATGGGGACGTACTAGAATGCTTGTACGGTTTCTGTGGAAGACAAATGAGAAGTGTCTCTACATCCATGTATATGAAAAAAAAAATTACAAGCCGCATGTTGAAACAGGTGTTTCATTATTAAAACATTAATGTACCGGGGCCTCCTCCCCTTTGGTGTTCACCTTGTTTACTATGGAACTAAGTGCGTTGCTGGGGGTATTTTTGGATGGGGGAGGGGGGGTTGTATTTTCTTTTGCATGACCTTTAAAGAGAAAAAAAAATCTATATATATCTATATCTATGAGAACTAAAAGCAAAGCTGAGCTGTTAGTCTGTCCCATGAATGCTGGTGGATCTTTTCCTCTTTCTGACTTAAAACTCTCCCTTTCTTTTTCTTGCCATTTCACTGTCTTTTCTTTCTGAGCCTTGTAAGTGTAAAAATGATTCCGACTTTGTTTTTGTCTCGGGAAACTGCAAATAAAAAAAAACCACAAAAAGGGACAAAACAACTGGTGCAACTTTGTCTCATTATCATGTTCCTGAGCTTCTCATTCAAGCCCACTCCACCGCCAAATGTCTTTACACCACCTGGAAACAGAGTTTGGCACAAAGAAAGCCCACTGAACAGGACTGATACAATCATTAAAGATTAGAGCATCCAATTCATTTGTAGTAGCACGTAAATATGTTTCCTCCCATGTGGTCAAAGCAGCATACATAATGTTCCCAGGAGGTCTCCCATCCAGGTAGTTCAGACTCGGACCTGCTTGGTTACTGCATTGTGTACCTTGACAACAGACCCAGGTAGAGAGGCACAGGAGCGGGATTAATCTTGGGAGCAATGGAAAGAAACTGCTCCACAGAAAAACTGGGTGCCTTCACCTTCATGAGAAGAGAGAATCTTCAGACATTCTTTCTCGCCTCTCAAAGAGAAACCACACATATTGTACAAGTAACACTTGAATTCTGGAGATGGAGGGGCAAGGACCATTAGCACCAAGGCACTAGTAGTGCAATCCCCATTACTAAGTCAGACTGAGAAGCTGGCTATTTAAAATGTAATGTAGCAGTCTCCAAACTTTTGGGCCCCTTGGACACCTTTGGAGATGAACTGGAGAAACCCCACACCAAACCAGGCACACATGGCAATATATTATATTGGCTACAACAGAATGCTTCTATCAAGTCTCATTTCAGCAAGGGGAGAAACGAGGGTGAGCTCCTGTGGGCAAGCACCTGCTCTAATGTAATGTACTGCCCTTACCATGCCACAGAGATGATTCGAAGCACGTTCCCACCCCATGTCACCTTTACTGACCAATATATTGCCCTCTTGTGTGTTTCTCCTTGGGGTGTTCTTTTTATAGTTATAGGAATATCTGTCCCAAGAATTGCTGATGACACAATGTTAAATTACAGGTGCAAACCTGCAAACAGAATGATGGCACTTATCTCAGAGCAAGGGACTTGGGCTCAATGTATTTCTCCCCTATTTTCTAGTTTTGCAACTGAAATGCCCTTTTAGACTTCTTTGCCCAGCTGTAATAACTGACGTGAATGTGCAAGTGTAAGGCAGAGACAGGAGGCTCCTACAACTTATACTTCTGCTGTCTCCATTAACAAGCACTGGGAACAGAAAAATAGATCGGTATCCTGAAGAAAATGCAACTCTCAAGTATTCCAAGGGATTGGTCTACATAGCCCAAAGCTGAACAGCCCCCTGCAAATCTAAACTGATCAGCTAATCACACAGGAAGGCCCAGGAGGTTCTGGTCAGAATGAGGTAAATCTGTAATATCAGGCATTGACACCCTACCATATAGTGATGGCGCTCATAACTGCATGGAAGCTCACTTTGATGCTCTATCTGGTTCCTGCATATAATTCCGGAGCCAGGGATGGGAGCCTGTGGCTCACCCCATGTGGGACTCCCACTCTTGGCAATAGGGCCAATTTGTCTGGGATGATGGGATTTGTAGTCCAGCACCATCAGGAAGGCTACAGGTTCCGCACGAGCAATTCAACAGTTTGAGGACCACAATTCATTCTTGCATGGATGATATGAGACAAGCCATTTTTGAACCATCAAGTGATAACTTTATCCATGTAGGTATAATCCATTAACCAGTACATACAGAAGTTAGGCCATATTTATTAAAATACAATCTTTAGTAAAAGCTTCCACATTAGAAAGAGGACAGGTAGAGAGGTGTGAGCACATGAGCCTAAGGGGCAAAACACTTTACAAATTAGCCTTGCTGTTTTACTTCTCGGGGTCAGTTTCTGAAGTTAATTTTCAGTTTAAAAAAATGACAAACGGGAACAGTTGTTCTCTCCCAAAGCAAGGAGGAATGGAAATCACTGTGGCTCACTATCCGGCCTCTTGTTAGGAGAGAACTCGTTAAGATCAAGCCCAGAAGACCATTAACAAAAAATGGGCTTTACAGAAAAGACAGGCCTCAGATAGAGATCCGAGGAAGAAGAAAAAAGAAATTAAGGCTGGTGATACACTGGCACCAAGAGGGGTGCTGCACTGGTTATGCCAATGCAGTCTGCATAATAATGTCGATTCAAGTTTGTGATTGGCCAAGGTGTGCGAGGGGCTCGGCTGCAGAGAGCAGGTAAATGCAGACATAAACTGTCCCAAAACATCCACCACCAAGCCAACACAGGTCAACTATGATAACAAAAGCGGAGTAAAACCCTGGGTCTCTCACTTGGCCCATGTCACCCCTGCCCTGGGCTTGGTGTAGGCTTTCTTATCGAGTAATAAATACATTGCAAAAATGGGTTTGAAAGTTGAAGTTGCTGTTGCCCATGAGGAAGCGGCACAGTCAAATATGTCACAAAAGCACAAAAAAGTGAACAGATTGCAAGTCACGAATTGCACTCATGCTCGCGGTCCTTGTCGATAAGCCTCGGCTCTGCCCTCGTGGCATTCGCCCCCTTTGCTACAGCTTGTTGCACAGTAATGGGAGCAAGGAAGACCTCCATAACATAACCGCCCATATGCCTCTCCGGAAAAGAGGGAAGCGTTATGGTAGTGATGTCACTTCAGTTACCACAAGACCTAGATCAGAAGATAGCTGTTTGTCGCTGTCCCAGACATATACACCCTCCCAGGATCCCACTGATGTACAACAGCACAACGTAGCAGTTCCGTCCTGTTGACACCAAAGCTGCTATTCTCACGGCTCCTTCTCTAAGGCTTTTTTTTTTTTTTTAAAGTGATGCTGCTTCTCACCTGTGTGCAGACACACCCACCACAGTTGAGGTACAGAAAAGGCAAGATCAGGGTGGAACTCCAATTGCAGAATAGCATCCCTGCCTCCCAAGACAGAATGGGCCTAAGAGCTCAGGCACCACTGATAGAAAAGACAAGAGATTATTATCAACGTTTTCTGGTATTTAAACAAAACTAGCCAGCAGGGACAAACTCTCCAGTGGGGAGGATGTAGGTCCAGCCAAGAACATTACAAGACACCAAGACGCACAACTTCAGCGGCTAAAACACTTTACACCCAATATAGGACAGGTCAAACTACAGAACTCTGGCACAGCTCCTTGTGCAAAGCAGCAGGTGGTACTTCTGGGCAATGGCACAATGCCATTAACAAGGGCTGGTTTAACACCATGGCAGGGGCACTGCCTAACAGCAGCCATAACACAACACACTGCCAGTGAAAGGGAGCTGCTGACTGTGAAAACAGCTTTTCCACATTATATGGAGAAGCATTGCAAAAGCAACAGAAGCCACTGACCAGAAAACTGACCAGTGCCATGGATAAGCCCTCTCCAAATAAGCTCTGAGATGAGACAGATTTCCAGTTTGTGATGCCATAACAAGCCTCCTTAAACATTTTTGTTTGACAAGTGGCAGTTAAGTGTTGGGAACGAAAATGAGCTGCTGCTTATCTCCTTGGCAAATGTAGTCACAAGATCAAAAGACTCTCCCAGGTTGAGTAAAAGGAAATAATTCCAAGCAGCTTCTCATGCCCAAGCTCACCCTGGGAACTTCTTTGCTCAGTCCCTTGGAGCTCCTCTGTTGAACGGGCTGCAGTCCTGCCTTGCTTCCACAACTACCGCGGGACATTTTAGCACACTGAGAAACTCATCGTCACCACTAGATGCAGTGTTGAGACTGACAAGCCAAGTCTTGGTCCTGGCTTGCAACCGTCAGGTGGTCAGACTGTTTTCTTAGTGTTACGTAAACATACAGCAACAGATACATAGTGAGTCCACATCTGCTTGCAGGTTTCAGAAAGAAGCAGGGCAGAAAGCCCCACATGGCGGCTATCCACCAGACTGCTAGATCAGGGAGCCCATTTGGTACCAATGGAAAAAAGTCAGTGTCTATCCTCAGCCTCATAGTACAAGCATCTTGAGGCCCAAGATGCCTTTTTTCAAGAGGAGAAAAAAAAGATTGTTTTAAATTCATGAACCACAACATCATATCCTTTTTCAGTGCATCCAGCCTGGCTGAGGTGGCTATATCCGGAAATAAGGAGTGCCATGGGAAGTCGTAGGAGTGCATCTTTTCACTGCTGTGTCCTGGAGCCCTGAATGCGAATGAAGTCCAGAGCAGGTGGCAGGTTCCAGCCGACGGGGTCACATGATCTCACAGCACGAATTCTGCTTGCGGGCCTTAAGAGATGGTTTTAAAAAAAGGACACACACACATTGAGAGATTCCCACTTAAAAGGTTTTAGCAAGTCAAATCCTCAGAAGCCTCCTTGTACAGAATCTCCTTGTGTCAGTATCAGCTTAGTTTATGCATTTTATCTGTCAAGAATACTTATTATATTCCACCCTTCAATTTTTAAAAAAATGTCCAGAGAGGTTCATATATAATAAAAAACCCTCAACAATTATAATCCAAAGAAGGCAAGAGCACATCTGGAAGGCCTCAAGCAAGAAAGCATCCTCCCCAGTCTCCATCCGCTTGAGGGTGGGTGGGAGTCAGTCAGTCAAGAGGGCTTCTCCCGATGTGGTAGGAAGTGGTCCATAACGTGCCTGGGTCCCAAGCAGTTTAGGGCTTAAAAAGTGACCACCACCACCATATTGCGGCCTCCCAGAATCACATGCATGGGGATTCCCAAAACCTCATCTATGTCTGATTATTAAGGGAGGGATGTGGCTGGTTTATTAATCTGTCCTGATTTCCTAAGTACAAACACTCTGAAACCAGGAAAGGAATTCTGGAGAGAGATAGAAATGAAATCCCTAAGGATAGCTCCTGTCTCTGGAGTGGGGAGGAGAGATGTTCCAGAAGGGAAAAGGCTGGCATGGGAAGGAGCTGCAGGATAGGCTCCTCACAATACCTGTACCAAGGAAAAGATACCTAAGAATAGGGCCAGAGGGCTGCATCCAATGTTAGTCCTAATCCAAGGAGACCCACTGAAATCAATTGACATGAGTAACTTATGTCTGTTTATTTCAATGGGTCTGTTATGAATAGGACTAGCACTGGCTACAAGCCAGAGGAAGACAAGTGCTTATGTGGGCCGAACCAATATCAAGATGTCTGAGGCATGCAGTAATTGTCATTTAGGTCAGGATGATTTTTATTTCATGTTTCCATTTGCAATTCGCAAACTTTTTCAACAAGAAAAATCTTCTTAGTTCCACCCCCCACCTAAATTTCCTGTATTTAAGGGCTCTTTCCATTTCATCTCCAGCTAGGCAGATAATATAATCTAACTGTTCATGATAGACCAGGTTCCATTTCCAATGCAAATACCTGTACAAGAAAGCCATGATTCTCAGACAAAAACACTCATTTGCTGCCCACTCTTTCCCTTTCCCCCACTTATAGAACTGTTGGATGGTTGTCATTATTTTTATGAAATAAATGAAATTATTGCAGGAAATTCTGAATTTGATCACCACATTGTGGAAGGGAGAGACATCTGAAGCCACATTTTATTTTTTTAAGATAGAGAAAAGAGCAAGCCCAATTATTATCAATAGAGAATGGATCATTATCAATTATCTAGCATGTTAATGGAAGCCAAACCTCCCTCTTCCTAAGTGTATGGCAGCCTATTACAATGATCCAGCTGTGTGGATCTGCAAGGAGAATTATACTTTACTCAAGAGAATCTGTTGCTAGAGTCCTAAACATCACAATCCACAAGAGCTTTTCACAGATCCAGGACTAGCAAGAGATGTGAGAATTACTTCACACCCTGCCAATTCCCCCCAGGAATTACATGGTAGGTGTCTCACAACACTTGGCTCTAAGAACATACCACCCATGAACACTCTGCTGGAAAGACAGAGGAGAAGTCAGTGAGACAAGATAGTTGGGCCTCTGGCCACAATATACTTACAGTTTTGTAGAAGGCTTTTGACTGAGTTCCAAGAACTTCTGATTTGGACACCAAGTCATCCAGCTTCTCTCCTCTTTCTAACAAAGACTCCATGGTATTGTGCTAAGTGAGAAAAGACAAAGCTGAAAGATGGAGGCTGCGCGTGGTCAATAATTACTGCAAGCCCAGCTGCTCAAACTGCAGCAGAGAGCAAGTTTAAGAATTGGCAGAGCCACGGTCACAGAGCTCCCCACCCCTTCGTATTATAAAATAGTAATAAAATGAAAATCTGCTTTCTGGCTTGGAAGGTGCTTATAAAGTATTGTTGGTTTTTAAGGCAAGGTTCTTGGACTCTGCACACACCTGGCTCTCACACAGACTAACACTCCATTGCTGTCACCGCTACAAGCATTTATTCGTGCCTTCCTCTCTCACCTTGGCCCCTGCCAAGAGGTGTGTAAATTCTAAACCCAAACTATTCTTAAAGGTGCATGCCTGCTTACACATATAAATAAAAGCTTTTGCGCCGTCTTCTTTCTTTATGTTTGGGGCAAGAATCTGCTTTGTGTCCCCTTCTTTTTCTATCAGCAGAGCTTGATGACATGGAGCTTTTTCAGTGGTGGCCCCTGCTCCTCAGTATTCTTTGCTCAGAGAGGCACACATGCTGACCTCACTGCTTGCTTTCAGCAAACCTCCCTCATCCTTAGAGCTCACTCCAGTTGCTGCTTTTTTATTGCAATTGGGTTAGCAAGCTATTGTTTTAGTGTGGTGTATGTTTTATTCTTGGGTTCGTGGTTTTTTGTTTTGTATTTTCATTGTCACCTTCAGACTCTAATTCTAACAACTTACTTTTAAAATGTAAACGAAATTCTGCCTCACTCTTCAAGAGTTTTTTTTTCTTCTAATTGACTGTAGAAATAAAGGCTATCTATTCAACTATTTAAGCATGTTCTCAGAAGAGCGGGGAAACCAACTGTATTCAAAAAGTGTAGCAGGAACAATACTTATATTTTAATTTGTCCAACACTTAAGCAGATGACTCTGTTTTCAGATGCTTAAGACTTAATGAACATTAATATTTAGGCTTAAGTTGCCCATAATCATTATCTAGGCTTGGTAAGTTTTTACACAAATCTGCAAATAAACAACATCTCAAAGTTTCAGCATTTAACCTAGAGAAGTAATTCTCTAAGTGCAGCTGAGAAAGCAACACTGCTTTAAGATTTAATATATGTTAAATAGTTCCCTTCTTAGCTGCTTTAATATTCTGTTGAGATCTTAGAAGCTCAGTTTAACTCCCAGCCTCTGGCACATTGCTTGAGATGGGAACAGGAATCAGGATTCAAAACAGCCATACACTGAACCATTTGCTCATCACCACAATCAGGACATCCCTAAATTGTGGGGGAGGTAGCAACTAAAGCATGATTGCAAAACAGGACAGTCAAGACAATTCTGTTCTGCCACACAAGAAACACTAGGCTCATTATAAGAGATTGACTCAGATACTAATGACATCATAAACAGCAGCAAAGGGTGTTCCTAGCTAAAGTAGTAGTCATGACCTAGTTCCATCTGACTGCATCACTGTTCTCAGCTTAGCTCATGGCTCCTCAACCAGCTTACAGAATCACAAGTGCCCGATTAAAAGACTGGTGCAGTAACTCACACACTGTACTAATGCTGAAGAGAGCATCCTTCAAAGAAGAAAGGGGAAAACTAAGGGTTTGTTTGTATAGCTTTCACAGCTTTGCGGGACAACATATCCTAATAATGCTGTTGTAGTCTCTGAGGGACCAAGGTACAGCAAATTCTGTACTGTCCTTCATTTTCTAAGTGGTCATGAGAAAGTCACCAAGATATTGGACTACAACTTCCATCAGCTCCAGCCAGCAGGACCAGCGGACGGGGATGATGGGACCTGAAGACCTACAATAGCTGGGAAGCACCAGGTTGAGAAGACTTGGATTAACACAAAGGTAAAGGTAAACGTACCCCTGCCCGTACGGGCCAGTCTTGACAGACTCTAGGGTTGTGCGCCCATCTCACTCAAGAGGCTGGGGGCCAGCGCTGTCCGGAGACACTTCCGGGTCACGTGGCCAGCGTGACAAAGCCGCATCTGGCGAGCCAACACAGCACACGGAAACGCCGTTTACCTTCCCGCCAGTAAGCGGTCCCTATTTATCTACTTGCACCCGGGGGTGCTTTCGAACTGCTAGGTTGGCAGGCGCTGGGACCGAGCAACGGGAGCTCACCCTGCCGCGGGGATTCGAACCGCCGACCTTTCGATCGGCAAGCTCTAGGCGCTGAGGCTTTTACCCACAGCGCCACCCGCGTCCCAATTAACACAACATGTGCCAATTCCACAAGATTTCTATAAGAGGTTGCCCCTTACCAGAATGACTTTGGTCTCATCCAGCTCGGCTTGCACTTTTGTCATTGCGTCTGCATCACGAGGATTCTTAAAGAGGAACACATCACATTATTATAGAAGGTCATAGTTGAGAAACTGGAGATCATCATTAGGACATTAATTCCTTAATGGAATAATCAGAAAGTAGATTCTTCCAACTGTGCCAAGCTACATATATGACCCAAGCAAAAAACTTTGACATTTTGGCACTGAAGATTTTGATAAAACAGTATTTCTTCCCTTTGCTAGAAATATTAAAAGTTCTTTGTACTCTTCCCAGAGAGCAGCCTCTTCTCATATAACATAGTAAAAACTAGATTAAGTCATGCAATTAGGACTATGGCTGCTAGCATGCAATACATGTGATCAATTAAGACATGCTCCCCCCCCAACACACCCACACCCAAACAAAAACAGAATAGTACTAAAACAAATACACATTGAAAGGCAAGTTAAAATCATGCACCAGACAACATTAAAGCTTCTTTGCTTTAATTGTCTAGCCCAATTCAGTCATACCTGGTATTTACTAAGGTAACCATCCAAAGCTGTGTAGTTTATTGTTGCCGGGGTTCCAGAGGGCCAGTCTATCCTATTAACTTGCCTGGAAAATTCATCCAGCACCTACAATACAAACTGACAATAAGAATTCAACTGCCCTCTCACTCATGAGAGCAACCTAGACCAAGATTCTCAAAGTTCCCCAATACCATAATTGCCAATTGCAGACAAGTGACATCCAGTTTCTGTGTTCTCTATCGGAACACACACCTTCCCCAATAGGAAATGTTAATAAATACTCAAAGTAGTTCCAAGATCCAAAATAAGTTCATGGTCAGTAACTAATCAAAACCAGTCTCTGATTTTATGCCCTTAACAAGGAGCACAGGCTGAGTGCATCCAAGGTAGTCCCATCTCTGAAACTAAACAGGTCTCCTTCCTTGTATTCACCGGGCTCAAACTGCCTGGGAAGAAAGCAAATGATTTACCTTAAACAAACAAAATAAACAAAATAGTTGAACATCAAATGGCCCCAGAGCCAATCCCCTATTCTGGTATCACACCAACCACGAAAAGAAGCTAAGATACAGTTTTATGTCTGGTCTGACCAACCATGGTTTGTAATTGGCTAGGTATATTTTCCAATAAACAAACCATAGATATATGGCAATCCCTCTGCTTCCAAAAGCTGCTGCACCATGGAGATTGGAGTTAACTTATGAAGCCTAAATGGAAAAAGGAAGACAAGAATATCTAAACAGATTTTTCTGTTGTATATTTGAAGCTCAAACCTTGGGAAGGGAAGGGCTGAAGGTTTTCAGCTGAATTGGGGAAGGGAGAGGGCAGTGAGGAGGTGGTCATTTTGCCTAAATCAGGCATAGGCAAACTCGGCCCTCCAGATGTTTCGGGACTACAGTGGTGCCCCGCAAGACGAATGCCTCGCAAGACGAAAAACCCGCTAGACGAAAGGGTTTTCCGTTTTTCGATGCGCTTCGCAGGACGAATTTCCCTATGGGCTTGCTTCGCAAGACGAAAATGTCTTGCGAGTCTTGAGATTTTTTCGCCCCCCCCTTTTTTCTAAGCCGCTAAGCCGCTAATAGCCTTTTAGCCGCTAAGCCGCTAAGACTTTAATAGCCGCTAAACCGCTAATAGCGCTAATCCGCTAAGAGGGTTGCTTCGCAAGACGAAAAAACTGCTAGACGAAGAGACTCGCGGAACGGATTAATTTCGTCTTGCGAGGCACCACTGTACAACTCCCATCATCCCTAGCTAACAGGACCAGTGGTCAGGGATGATGGCAGCTGTAGTCCCAAAACATCTGGAGGACCGAGTTTGCCTAAGCCTGGCCTAAATCCTAGGCTGGAGTTCTAAACTATGGTTAGAGAAAACCATGCTTTGGTGTGATGCCCCAATTGAACTAATGTTTTACCTGTAATGGAGCCAAGCAATATTTATATGCAGAGTATTATGCATTGCCAGGTAACGTACAACAGCATAGAAAATGTGGTATAAAATTTTGCACTACAACTACAGGATACCATCACATTAAAATCCAATCAGTAGTCCAAATAAAATTAACTCTCATAATAGAAGACATTAAGGACCCGTAAAGCCCAAGGTAAATAAAGAAGGCTTTAGCATGTGCTGAAACTTTAAGAGCCTTAGCTCATACCTTATTTTGGGATGGGGGTAGGCCATTCCAAAGTGCCACCACAGGAAAGGCCCAGAGTCCAGCTTCAAAACTTCTATTCTATGCTCTCTTGCAGCTCAACTGCAGAATCATAGGTCATCTTGGTTGAAACCTGGTACTTACCTTATCCAACAAGGTGAAACAGACCCGGGATGGATACTCATTGTCTGCAATCAGCACTCCAGCCAATCCGTCATTCCGCACATAAACATGGCAGAGATACTCTGAAGTGAAGAGAAAGATGAACAACTCATGTTTTGTCCCAAATAAAGTTGCTTAGTGTCTGAATACTAGATAGATAACAAGTTTATTTGGGGACACCTCTGTTTTAGCATGCACTTTATTTAGGCATGCACATGTTGAACTTATCAACTCCCAAGTCTTTAGTCAAGATTCACTTTGAAAGAATGAATGGAATTCCCCCACTGCAGGACTGAGGCAGCTTCCAAGCACAAGGAAGAATTGTGTTTGGGTAGCACTGAATAGTGCACAGCACAGGGGAAAAAATCCTTCATAGCACAGAGAATGTAGAACCCCCATCGGTAGCACTGTGAATAAAGCTTGAGAAAGGAATAATTCAAATTTTGAGAACGGGATAATTCAAATTGTTGAGAGCAGATCAAAGGTCTACCCAGTGAAGCGCTCTGTTCGCACAATGGCCAGATACCTACAGGAAGTCCGCAAGAGGGACATGAGTCCAGCCACATTTTAACCACTTATGAATGCCAGCAATTGGAATTCAGAGGCATTCTGTCTCCACCACATATTATACAGCCATCATGAGTAGCAGCCATTGACAGACTTATCCTCCATAATTTTGTCTAAACCCTTTAAAAGTCATCCAACTTGGTAGCCAATGCTTTCATAGCTTTAATTATGTGCTTCCTCTTGTCTTTTCCTTCCAACATTTGGCTTCATTGGGTGGCTCCAGGTTCTAATAGTATGAGAGGAGAAAAACATTTCTCTGTCCGCTTCCTCCACGCAATGCAATATTTCATAAACACTGCATGCTTTTTTCTAAACAAAAAACTCATGATCCTTCAGCCCCATGATCGTTCCCAACCCTACAATATGTTTTTTGAGGTGTGGCATCCAGAACGACATGCAATATTCCAAGTGCGGTCACACTATTGATTTGTATAATGGTATTTATTCATAATTTTATTTTCAACTCCCTTCCAATGATCCCCAACGTGGAATTTGCCTTCTTCACAGCTGCCACACACTGGAGTATCTAGTGCTGTACCAAAAATGCATTTTCCGTGAACCAGGGGAAATAGAGGCAAAGGAATGCAGACCAAGGAGAGATGATTTGCCCTTCTAGGTTCCAAGATTTCTCCTGCCTCCATTTTCTAAATAAAATTTTCAAACCGTGAAAAAAAAGTAACGAACAAAAAATATAAGAAACAGGAACTGACATAGACTTTTTCACTATTTCATTATAGGATATTGATAAATTATCTATACATATATGTAAATAAATGTATGTATGCATATTTAGGCGTATAGAAACAAAGTACAGTGATGATTACCAAGCAACAAAAGTTAATATCCTTAAACAGGGTTGGACAAAAAGAGAGTAAGAAAAAGAAAAGATGATACAAAACAGCAGTTGATCAAATTGCCCCTAATAATAAGCATCTTCGTAAAACATCCTGTACCTTATTGTTCCAGTAATAAATTTTTAAAACTCTGTGTGAACTGATAGGAGAGACAACAAAAGTCTTACTTTGCCCATCAAAGCTATGTCCCATACTCAAATGCACTACTCATCAGGGGACAGGGTGCACATGTTAATCTTTCTCCATCTATAGCTAATGGTGCTGCGATCAATAAATGGAATAATATTTCTGTCATGTGGGAGTACTATATCTTCCACGTATCCTAAAAGAACAAGTATGGGGTCCCTAGATAACTTATATCCTACGATTTTTTGATAAACTATTTCAGCTATCCCATGTTTTTACATATCTCAGTATTCTCCAAATCTTTATTAGAATAAACTGCTGTAAACAGTGGCAAGCCAAAATTTGCTTGGATTTTTCTTTTTTCTTGAAGATACCATATTGTACACAACTCACTGAGACACTGAACTGCATAAATATAATCCAAGTCCTTTCTACTCCAGTGCCAGTGATTATTGTTGAGGTGTATGTTGATAATTTGTCTTCCTCTAATTCATCAGCAGTGTCAACTATTAAATCATGCATTCAAATGGGCCTGTTTGATAAAACCATTTGAAACTAGGGAGCACCATGCCTCCCCACCACCCCCACAAAGTGACTGATAAAATGTATTCACTACAACCTTTGCTTTTTACCTGCCCAAGCTTCTGAGATTTCACCACATACTGTCACCTAGCCATTAAGCTTTCACTGCAGCCAGGAGGGCTAGCTGTTTGCTCTGGCTTGAAAAATGTATTAGGGTTGTGTGTTATAAGTTCTTAACTTTGACATTCTTTCATTCTTATTTTTTTAAAGCAGTGCTTAAGTACATGGAAGCTCTATAAAGAGAAGTTCAAGAATAGTATACAAAAAGACTAAGCTAGAAGGAATCTCAGCACATTGAGGTGGAAGACACAGTAAAGATTATACGGCCATCTATTGACTATGATGGACAGAGTAAATCAGACCACATGAAGCTGTCATTATGGAAAATTGTTGCCAGCTCAGAGGCCAGAGTTTGTGCTCCCATTGGGAGTAATCCTGAAACGAAGGAGAGGCAGCTTGGTTGTCAGACAGGTTTCTGCAGCTCCTCAGCTAAACATCATTCAGTGTATGACTTGGTGGAGATTCAGTATGGACTGACCCTCAGTTCCTGCTACAACCATTTGCTTCACAGGAATCACAATACTTAACAGCAAATACTAATACTGTATGTCCAGGATTACTCAAACTAATATAACGTGTAGTGGTTCTCTATACCAAAAATTAGCTTTTTTGGTAGAGCCCTCCAGGCAGTCACCTGAACATATGGAAGATTGTGTAGAGGTGTGGCCATGTACACAGTAGCTCCACCCATGGGATGTATTTGGCATGCACATCATTCAGATGGAAACCTGAAGTGTCTCTTGCTGTCCATTTTTACTGCCTCACCAAACAAGCAGGATTAAGTCATGTCATGTCATCCTGTAACTTAGATGGCAATGGCCAGCTCTGCTTATAAGGATATGAATTTGAACTATGCTTTAAAACCCAACCAACTTAGTCCAAGGGTAAAAATAATTCAAGCAAGAGAACTGCAAAAACATTTATTCGCCTGAACAGCAGAGCCAACACACCGTTTTCTTTCTGCTAGAGAAATAGTAATCGCGTGAAAGATGCATGCCTCAATTCCAACCTATGTATCTTTGAAAGTTTGCAAATGTGCATCCTTAAATCTTAGTGCAGCCTTCCCAAGCCTGATGTCCTTCAGATGTTCTGGACTACAATTCTCAGCCAGCACAGTCATGCTGTGAGTTGTAAATGGCACCAAGTCCCAACATGATGGGAGATGTAGTCCAAAATATCTGGAGAATACCAGGTTGGGGAAGGCTGTCTTAGTACAACCCAGACCTCTGTAAACTCTTACCTTGCTCCTTTACAGAAGCTCTGGTGCCAGGTTCTGAACGCTCTACTATCAGCTGACTTGTGAAGGTCATAAATTCCTGAACACTGAAAACAAAAGAGGCATGCCTCAATATTAGTTAGCAAAGCTCCCCAAGATTACCAAATGGATTACTTAAGAGCCATATATATCCCATAGAGGAATGTAACTTTACTAGCAGCTACAATGCAAATAAACTCACTGCAACACATCTGTTAATAGGAAAATAACCACAGGAAAAAACTACTATTTAAAATTGTCATTCTCCAAGCAGACTCTAAAAGTGCAAGGTTTCATTAGTCTTTCAAAAGCAGCCTCCAAGTCTACAATTCATCAAAACTGCAAGTGACAATATCCATTCAACTAAAGCATTGCTGTCAACTATTTTGGTCCCAGCCTCTGCCTATGAGCCATATGTATAACTACTGCCTAAACCATGTTGTAGCAAGACTAAAAGCTTGCTCAAAGAAATACATGAGCAGAGACAAGATGGATTCTGAGTTGCTGCAGCAGTTCTCATTTCATGTTCCACGTAATTCTGATTAAAAATACAGCTTTACTGCAATGGATCTAATATTCAAGAGCCGAATTCTAAGCACTGTAAGATTAATGGCATGATATTTACCTGGGTACATACACTTAACTAGGGCTGGGCAATGTCAGCTTTTCAAAACTGCGATGTATCACCAGCCAAACATTGTGATCTGGTGATACATGGCGATGCTGAAACCTGGCCAAGCCAGGGCTGCTTGCTGCTGCCGCCCAGCACTGGGAGTGGAGGGACTCACTCTGCTCCCAGTGCTTGGCAGCAGCATCAGGCATCCTTGCCCAGCTTTGCAAGGTGCGGGGTGCAATCCACCCCAGCGCCTTGGGGAGAGGGGCCTCCTGATGCTGATGCTGAGCGCTGGGCCCGGCGGCAGCATCAGGCAGCCTCAACACCATTCTGCAAGGATTAGGGGTGCTAGCCAACTCAGTGCCTCGTGGAGTGGGGCTGCTTGATGCCGCCGCCTACTTCACTCAGGCGGCCGAGCTCCCTCTTTCTCCCACTCCGCCTCCACTGGCACAAGCTGGAGGTAGGGGGCCTGATCAGCTGAAAAGTGGGCCTCCTTAAACTGCCCACTTCTCAGCTGATCAAGACCACACCGCCTCTGACTCATGCGGTATGAGGGCCAGAGGCGATGGCGGTTTCAGAGGGATATCATGGGTGGAATTGCCACGGCTCATGAGTCCTTCTACGAACTGGTGCCAACGGAACTCAGGAGCGGTGGTGATTTCATCCACGATATACTGTCCGGTGAAGATACCATTGCAATCTAGCCATCATACTGATCCTGGGCAATTGATACATCACCCAGGCCTACACTTAACATCAATAAACTCCATTAATGGAACATCTGAACAGGTTAGGTGAGCACACTCAAAGCTGTTTATGTTAGACTTGCAAGTGAAAGGGCCGGCATTTTGAAAGCAAAGCACATCTGTTCAGATTGGCACAAGTATCAAACCTTTTTAACAAATAGTAAAATTCTTAATGAGAAGTAACATTCTTCTAAATAAGATCATAGGTGCTTAGACTTAGCATAAGCTTTGTTGAGATAACAAAAAATACACATATTTTTTGCCAACTCTCAAACCAGAATGTCTTCATTAGAATTCACTATCCTGAATTCCATTCAACAAAGCCAAAGGGGACACTACAGTACAAATTCAAGTCCTTGAATAGGACAGAGAAGAGCATCAGAGGAAATACCCCAGTAGTCATTCTGAGGCACTGGAAACATACCTGGATCTCTGGAAAAAGCTAAATGATGACACATCATAGGCAGCTTTCAGTAAATGCACTTTGGGATCTCCTTTGTAAAGGACACTTAAACTGTAAAGCTTCATCCTCTTTTTGACTTAAGCCTCTTTGATTCTCAGCAACCTGTGCAAAGGAACAAAAAGGAAAGCACAAAAATAAGGTAGGATAAAGAGAAAACAGTAGCAGTAAGATGCAATACTATGAGGAATGGATATCAACATGCACTCCAGACTAGAGTTCTATAGGCTCCAAACCTACTTCATTTACACACTGGGAAATGGAGCACAGGAAGACTGAAAGTTCACACAGCAACTCTATACACACTTACTCAGGAAGGCATGATATACAATTACATCACTAGTCTGAGAAAACATTCATCACAGATAAACATATGAAAAACTACAAGCACTCACTCATTATTTCAGAGATGCTCAAAGACCAAGGTTTCAATCAGGGGAAGGGAAACCTGTGGACCACCAAATGTTGCTGAACATTTGAAAACATAAGGGGCAAGTCAACCAAAGGCTCAAACAGGAGTGCTGGGACTGTCTGAAAGCAAAAGCGCTTCCAAACAGTGCTGCACTGCAAAGTTCCAACAACTGGAATTTCAAAGCACTGCATCCCATGACATCACAATGACACCCGGTGACTGACAAGTGGGAAGGCTGATCCACCCATCAAATATGGCCTACTGGGAGGTGCGGCGATAATGATCTGGCTCGCCAGCCAGAAAAGATGTCCCAACATAGTAAAGCAATCAATTTTCAAATGGTACCAAGGTACCAAGATTCCTTGCTGTTTGGCTTTGTATGGCTGCAATCTTACTGAAGTGCAAGACTCATGGAACCAAGTGGGACTCACTTCTATGCTTAGGACAGCTACCCTCCTCTGAAAGCAAGACGGAAAGAGAAAAGACTATTTGGTCACAGACACTGGACAGTCACTGCCGGCAGAAAACGACGGACTAGAGCCCTGGGATTCAAGTGGTGGGCCGGGTGTCAGGACCCACTAGTGGGTCGCTGTCTGATCCAAGGTGCAACAAGAACACAACCACCATGGAAACATAAGGTCAGAGATGAACGCATATTTGGATTAGAAGTGGGCAGTGGTTGGGCAAATGCAGCCAGGTGGACGGGGTATGTATGTATGCATGTAAATAAATAATAATTATTATCATTCCTGGGCATGAAAAGATACCTGGACTAGAAGGGCAAATGAGACAGGCACCACATCACGGGTGGAGAACCCATGCCTACCTCCAGCTCTCTCTGTCCCACCAGCAATAACCCCTCCCCAAGCAACATCTGGAGAGCCTCAAGAGTCCCCCCCACTGGACTAAAGCCTAGTGGCAGGGCGCATGCGCTGCAGAGACCTCCCACCCCCGCTTCAGCCTCCAACCAAAGGCCTCAGGTGACGAGAAAGGCCCTTTCTCCGCCCGAGGCCCTTTAAGAGCCTCTGGGGGAGCAAGCGGGGTAAAGCGGGGGGCGTCACCTGTGAGCCAGGATAAAGCGCCTCGCTGCGCCCCTGAGGGGGGGGGGGAGAGAGAGCCCAGCTCTAGGCCTGTCGCTTCGGCTTCTCGTACAGCGCCGAGCACACGGCCGGGCGAGGAGCAGCGATGGGCGGGAGGGCCCTCTCGCCCCCCGCCTGGGCCCTGCGAAGTCCCCCGCCGGCCTCCTCCCTCCCTCCCTCCCTCCCTCCCTCAGCCGACGACGTCGACAGGTCAACGGCCAAGCGCGCGCCTCGCTCACCTCACGGCACGGGGAGCTCCGATTCTGCTCCGGGCGGCGCCCCCTCCCACGTCACGTCACGTCACGTCTCGCCTCTCAAGGCTCCCCGAGCGGCTCGGAGGCGAATGAACGAAGCGGAAGCTTTGGACGACCCGGATGTGGAGCCCGGAGCGGAAGTGCCGGCGAGTCGCCATAGAGGTAGGAATATTATAAGAGTGACACTAGTCTGTTGACGTGGAGATGGAGTTGTTTTGGGGGGGCGGGGGGCTTTTCCCTTTCCCTTTCTGTTTAATCGTCGGAAAGTTAAGTCGACGAGGCGGAGAGTCAGTTTCCAACGCACTTCCTGGTAGCTCTTGGGGAACTCTTCCCCTCTGGAAAAGATGGTCTCTAGAGTGAACTCGGAAGCTGGTAGACCCAGTGCGAATCTACACGTTATAAGTTTTGTGGGGACCGTCGCGGGAGCGCATTGGCCGTATTGCGCGTGCGTCAGAACTCGCTTTGACTCAAGGGGCTGCAGTCGCAATGGTTCAATGAGTGAGGCTTCCGGTTCGCTCTTGCAATCAGGCACAATCCTCCATGTGCGGGGCAAGATCGGTGGTAAATATATAGGAACTGGTGCAAAAAAAAAAAAAAAAAAAAGGGAAATCGGCGTTTTTAAATAACCATGCTCACTTCACAGCCGCATTCACCCCACAAAGATACAACAGAAGCTTGACAACGACAGAGGCATTTTCGCTTTTAAGGCAGCTGTGCACGCAGAAATTCAGCTGCTAGAAATGTAGTGCTGATTTACGTGTTGATTTTCTATCTGTGTGGAGTTAGGGCATAGCAGTGTACTTTTTATTATTTCGTTGTTGCAGTGATCCACTTAACAAAACACGCAGGAAGAAAACTACATAAGATTTTTTAAAAACGAGGTTGTGACTTTTAAACGTCGTCCACTCGCTGTTTGTGTTGAATCTGATCAGTGCACCCCCATATATGCCTACTCAAAAGTAAGCATTGCTAAATTCCATGAGGCTTGTCCCAGATAGGTGAGCCTAGAAATATTGTCTGTGTTCTCTAAATGTAAATGCACACAAACACTAAAATGCAGGAATTTTTAAAAATGTTTTTTTTTAAAGCTATTAAAGTGTGGACTTTCAACTGAGCTGCATTTAATAGCGGTTTAGCAATCAATCTCTCGTCCTAGGGAACTCTGAGAAACGTGGCTCTGTGAAGAGAACAGGGGCCTCCTAACAAGCACCCTTAAGAAACTACACTTCCCAGAATTCTTTGGCAGATGCTGACTGCTTGAATTGGTCTGGCTTAGGAGGTTCATAGCGGCAGCTGTGTGGACCTAGGCGATTTCCATTGATGCCACTCCTCCTGGACCAAAATACCTTTCCCCCCTTTTCCATTTGAGAACCCTAGAGCAATATTCCATGGCTGTGATGAGGGACCAAACACATGCAGCGAGAACACAATTTAAATTTTTTTTTTTAAAAGTCTGGGGGTAGGCAGCATGGTGAATTCAACTTGCTGCAAGGAAAAGTAGCCTGTTGCAACTCTTTCATTTACAAACATGTGTTCACTCTTCCATTCCACCTTTGCTTCTCCTAGGAAAGATTCTAACCACAACCAGAATTATAAGGCAAGCGGGGTTTTTTATCGACTTGTCAAGGAGTTTGCCCCACCCAGCTGAAGAGATTTGCAGCCAATCAGCGGCATCCTCTTCCAGAGGCAGAACTCAGCTGATGCTCCTTCTAGCAAGGAGATTTCCTTAGCATGACGTGGCAGTGGAAGGCGGACAGCCTCCTTTCCATCCCTCGCCTATGATTTCCTACGCATGTCTATAATGTTCCATTGTTTCCATTCGGACTTAGCTTTCTCCTGCCGGGGCTGAGAATTTCAGCTGCCCACCTTCTGAAATGCTTTGACGAGGACCACTCGGGATCCTTTCTCCATTTCACTTTCTAAAGTTCAAGGCTTGCCACTCATCCTGGATAATACAGGATTGTCCCCTGTTTCAATGTGAAATGTTACATCTTGTACGGATACAGTTTGTTCTGTATTTCCGCCTCTCTGCCAATTTAGGGAATGCATGTGTTTGAAAAGGTCTGTGAAAGGTTATGTATTTAAGCTCTGCTAGCAAAGCACAAACAGTTTCACACATTCATTTGTATGTGTGTGCGACAAATTCCAGAGGGGCCATCCCGTTAGGCTGCAATAGATTGTGCTTTGAAGTCACTTCACCACCAGATAAATAAATAAAAAAATCCCTGTCTCACCCTGGTCATTATTTTGCCACAACAAAGGTGGCAACCTTAAAATGTATTTTTTATTATTATTTCATTTATGATTTTCAATTTTATACATTTCAATAATCTAACAATCATTTTAACACTTCAAATCTTGACTTCCTTCCCCCTCTTTCTGCAGGTCCTTAAATTTACTTTTAATATTTCCTGCATATCCAAATTAACTTAATTTGCTGATTTATTCATCTGCTTCAAATATATACTCTTATAAAACTGCAAGTTATTACAATAATCCTGCTAATGCTCTTATCTGTTTACAGTTTATTTGTAAATATTAAATTAACCATTTCCATTCTTTTGTAAAAAGTTTGTTATCTTGATTTCTTATTCTTCCAATAAGTTTCACCATTTCTGCCTGTTCCATAAGTTTTTGTATCCATTCTTATTTTGCTGGGACTACTACTTCTTTCCATTTTTGGGCAAGTAACATTCTTGGCGCTGTAGTTGAAAGCAACCTTACAATGTAAACCCCTACAATAAGTGTGGGACAAGACATTTACTCGGTGGGGAAGAGGCTGCAGCTCAGTGAAAGAGCATCGTTTTTTTGTGTAGGTGACCCTAGGTCCTCAATATGAAATTTTACATATTGACCTGACATTAGAAGACAGACCTTTGAGTGCAGGCTTGTAGGAGTTCCTGTGATTAAACCACAGCATCTTTCTCTAGAAACCCAGGAGGGAAGCACCCCTATTCCTTACTTCTCTAGGCCAGGTGGGCCAATGAGGATGAGATATTCAGCAAGGAAATCCTTCTCTCTTAAAACTAAAGCACAACCAGTCTGTTTCGATGCCTACTAACAAGTACCAGCATGACAGCAATGAATCCCTTGCTCAGGTTGTTCACTGCCATGGTAAATATTCAGAATCAAAGTGATGGTGGGGATGTGGAAAACAGTTTTACCTTGGGAGAAGGAGACACTCTATCCTCTGACACTCCCACTTCTCATTGGTTTCTCCAGGCTGGATATGGAAGCACCTAAATCCCCCCACTTCTCCCTTTTTCTTTTTTTTAAAAAACCAGCCTTTCATTCCTCGGAAATGGGTTGCTGTGAACCACCATCACTATGGGAGCAGAACAGGTTGCTAAGCCCTGCAGTGGAGTGGTTGCTGTAGCAGCTGCGAAGTGATAATGTGGCTGTTATGCCCATTCGAATTAAGCCCTATTCCCATGGTAGCAGTATTCCGCATGACAGCTTTAATGGCATGGGCAGGAGGGGCTCTGGTGAGGTGGTAGTGCAACAGGATTTTCACCACCAGTCACCATGGCAATGCAGGGTTAGCCTTGAGACCCCAGGAAGCAGCCTGTGTGGACTCTGGGAAAAAAGAAAAAGGGAGAACGTCACCGGCTGAAAAAGTAAATAAACTTGATGTTGAGTTCAGAAGAGGAGCTGAATTGAGAGGAAGTTGGCGAGAGGCAACGCGATCTGCGCAACGCTCCCATGCGCTGTTACCTGGGCGGAAGGGAAAACTCTTGTTACTGGAACGGGCCTCATTGCTTTGCCTTTGACAAGATGCAGGTTGGCAAAACGGATCCGCACAGGATGGATGTTCCTTCTCGATATACTACTAAGTGAAGCATAAAACAAGTCCAAGGCCAAGAACACCCCATTTTGGGCAGGGAGAAATACAGACACCAAAGGTAAAGCGGAAGAGGAAGTTTTGTCACGTGCCGAGCAACTTCAAAGGGAGAGGAAGCAACCTTATACATGAAATAAACAAGCTAAGAAAGTGGAATATTCTCAACAGGAAGAACTGCCCTCTCTGCTAAGTTCTCCCAGCAAGAAAGGAGGAGGGAAGGCAAACTGGGCATTGGGCAACTTTGGACTTTGTTGGGGACTGGTCAGAGAGCAGCTGGTGCTGACAGCTGCCCCAATGCTGGATCACAGAACTAGGATGGACAGCTCCAAGAAGGGGAAGGTAATGTTTTACATTTGTCTTCTAGTTTGGGGGAATCTCCTTGGGTGGATGCGAATCCTGAATAGGTTTGGCTGCCCTGCAGAGCATAGTATCTATGTGATGGTTCCCCATGCTGATGATTGCAAGCCACAACCCAGAAATCGCACATGGAGCAGAAATTCACTGGTGCAATTGTCTTCTGCAATTTGTTGCTCCCCTGGTGTTGCTGCCCAGCAAGCACCCCTTCTTCATTTGTGGCAGCAGGCAAGATCCCCAAGGGGATTCTGCAGGTGGGGAAGAGGGTAGATTATGGGACCACAAAGGAAACAGGTGGGTGAAGCTGTGGTTGCTTCTTTTTCTTCCTTGGGGAAATTAAAGCCACACACATTCCCTGGAGTGCAACCTTGCAAACCCTACCAATGGAGGGCTCCACTGGAGTAAACGAAGAGAGCCACCTTTAAAATGTAAAGTTCAGACTCCAGATCTCTTATCTCCCCGAGACTCGTTTACCTTTCTCCTTCACCGGATTGCTAATTTTGCTGAAGCTTAAAAGTGTACAGGCCAATGTTCCAAGGCGAATTAACCTGATTTTGAGAGCCTCCATTTCTGGGTTTTGCAGCTAAAGTCAAATTAAATGTTTTCCATAGGCACACTTGCAAGTCCAAAGCAGTTTGCAGAAAGTAAAAAATGCAATAGGTCAGTAACCGACGTGCATAATAAAAATCTTAGCTATCACTGCACCATAACACTAAGAGGTCAACAAAGAACGATTTATTGAAAAAAAACATCAGTGTAAACGACCATCAAGCTTACCAATAGGTCAATTAAGAACACCCTAAAGTAGCCCCCAAACTGATGGCAACAGTACCTTCTCTTGCTTTTATCCCCAGACTCAAAAGGCCACCCCTCCTCCTCAGTTCAGCTGTTCCCTTATGAAAGCTCCCAGGGCAGGAGGATGAAACACAGCAAGTAGG